CCCCAAAACCCCAAAACCCCAAAACCCCAAAACCCCTATTAAAAACCTCTGAATAGAATTATTAAATTTTATTATATTTAAGATCTTATTTGAACTAAACTAATAAATGGACTTTACAAAATCTTATACATTGTGCTTATCTCCTCCCGAAGAAAACTTTCTAGATAAGGATATTGATGAAGAGGTATACGAAGACTATTTCAAAGGTAAATTTAAACTCCATGATTTAATTAGCATTAATATTTAGGTTTCACAGACCTAGAATTGATCATTCGCAAATAACAGAACTTTAGCAATACCCAAGTTTAAAGGAAAATATAAGGTTAGTAACTCTAATTACCTCTTTAAATATCAACCCTTAGTCGTATTTTCCTTTCAACTTGACTTTAAACCACAACCAAGCCTGACAAACAACATTTGATTACAGAAAACCTAAAAATAACTCAGTCCAAATAACCAAGCTCATGAATACTCCCCTCAATATGACCACACAAGAAGATGAGTAATTTTCAAATTCTCAATTTGACACTTTATCATAATATTAAAAGTTTTCTCTAGCCTACAAGAATCCACCAACCAGAGAGCTGATGCACAGTTTAGTACAGCAAGGAACAAGCAGACGGGACGCTTAGAATTTACCAAAAATACCACCAAACCTATATAAGAAACTCACTCATGGAGACTGTCCGGTTCCAAAGAATTATGAAGAAACTTTTAACCAAGGACAGACTTGATATACCTAACAGAAGTAATTTTACAATATCCATGCAATGGCACCTCCTATATTTTTGGAGTGGAAGAATTATACAATTGTTTAAATATTATCTATCACTAACTTCTACATATCAAGATCATAGTTTTATTCAAGAGAGGTTTCTAACCAGATATTTTACCAGAAATTAAAATAACACAGTAGTTTATACTAAAAAAATTAAAATTTTCTTTGATTTTGTTACAAAATTTTCAAATATTCAAAACAATAAATCTGATAAACATGGCTGTTCATCAATATTCCAAAACAAATAAGGTAGAATTTCGATGAAAAATGTATTTTTTTTAGATAAACCAATACTTCAAATAAATTGACTTAAATTCCAACCAATACAAATTAACCACAAGATTCTTTAGAAAGCGAAACTAACACCTCAAAGACATATACATATCCTTCCGAAATTAAATCTGTAAAACCAAAGCAATGGTAAGCTCTTTCAAACTGCTCTAAACCAGGTATAGTTCAACTCCTGTTGTCTCTGGGACTATGCCAGAGTTCAAGTGGAAAGGAAGCGGCCGTCTGTAAGTCACCCTGTTCGCATTAAGTATCTTTAAATGTAGATTCCTCAATAAAAGGTTACGCATTAATATCTGTAGGTTGGTCGACCAGTTTACCAAGAAAAGTACATGTAAGAGCATAAAAAAGACTCAGAATCGGAGGAAAAGTAAGGAGACCTAATTAGCCTCTACTTCTTTTCTCTTAAGCTAAGACTTTAGGCTTGATTAAATTCTAATATCAACTAAATGATGCTGTTTTCAAGTTTATTCCAAATATTTTTATCTTTGGCTTTATCTAAAACTCTCGGTGTGTTTATTGTAGTCTATAGTTCTGAACTTTAAATTTAGAATATACCCAGCTCAAGACACCAAGATTACCAATAACACATTTAAAAGCTTTAAGCATAAATCCGTGCAACCCCCCCAAATCTTATCAGCCAAGCAGTTTCAGTAAGATCGAAAACACAAAGTAACATCATTTAAAATTCGGAATGGCTATGCTAGTTGACATTAAGCAATTAAAGTATTTTCCACTAAAATGATCCTTTCAATGCAGTTTAACAAAAAAGGGGTTTTGGGGTTTTGGGGTTTTGGGG